GCCACTCCGTGGTAGCCACTCCGTGGTAGCCACTCCGTGGTAGCCACGCGATGCTGAGGGCCAATGGAAATCGCTGGGTCGGGTTACAGGATGGCACAGGGGAATCCTCGGACGTGAGATGGGCTTGGGGCTTGCTCCAGGACTGAGGAACCCCCTTAGGGGTTGTGTTTCTCCGAAGTGGGACCCCACAGTGTCCTCTCCCTTGTCCCAGCAGGACTAGGTCACTGCAAGTTGCTGCAGCCGTGCAGTCAGGAAACAAAGGCCCAGAGCTGTGTCTGGTTCAGGGCCACCCAGGCAGCCGCGGGTGCCGAGTGCCTGAGTTCAGCAGTGGCTGCTTACCGAGTCACGTTTCATGATCTGTACAGTGGAGGAATCAGAAATTCCTCTCAGGGGGTCAAGAGGTCACCCTCCATGGGGAGAAAGTCGTCATTCAGTATCTAGAAAATTCCTTACAGAGCTCAGACTCCGAACCCCTCTGTGGTGCGGATGAGGAAACCGAGGCCTTGGGATGAGAAAGGAGAAACCCCTGGCCCAGCTTCTGGACTCCTGGCCCAGCACCACCCTCTGAGGCTTCCGCTACCTCCTCGCCCTCCTCCCTGCACCTCTGACCCCTGTGGCTTCTGGAGCCTGAGCCCCAGGCCTGCAGCGAGGAGTGCCATTCTCCCTCTCCCTGGCACACTGAAGGTTTTGAAAGTTAAAGTGTTACCGTCGGCTTTGTTGTTGCCTAACTACGACAGACAAATTGAGAGCGAGTTGTCAAAATGTCAACGCACAACAAATCAACATGCGAAACGAGTCCCGGCGCTCCGCGGTGTATAATTAAACAAAAAATCCCTTTTAGAAATTTCAGTGAACGCCGGTTCCACTTTATATTTGTCTGTGTGATTAATAAAGGCAGCTAATTTTCAGACTCCAGAACAGCTAGAAAATAGCTCCTAATTACATATTAGGTTCCTGGCGGCCCCCGCTGTGCTCCGCCGGCATTGGTGGGCCCAAGAATTTGGCAGAGCCTTAATTGCATTCTGAGCGTCATCTAATTTTAGTTAAATGTAATGTAATCAGCAGCAGATGTCTGAAATAAAATATGAATTATGAATATGATGAAATTTCATTCTTGAATAAAAAAGTAATTTGCTATTTAGTTCATTAACGTCTTCGAGGTTTATTAGAGCAGGTAGCAGGGCCCGGCCTGCTTATGGATGAACTGATATCTGGGACACCCTCACCCTGGACAGGAACTTCATCTGGACACATCCAGTTGTAATGAGTGACTATGGGACCCTGAGTTCACATCCCGGTGAGACAGAGTTTAGGGATAAGAGGAAGCCTCGAGTGTCTCTTAGTCCTGTGACCCCAGTACCCACTCTCCCTTCTGAGATGGGTGCTATAGAAGGCTACCTCCAAGTGATACCACATGGGGCTTGGTGACAATGTGGAGCCGGGATCTCCATCTCTGACTGAGGGTCCAGGCTCTGGCTCTTACTGAGGTCTGTGTGATTGTGAGCCAGGACCTCAATTTCCCTTTCCATACAATGGGATCATCAAAGCATCTACTGGACACTCCACATGCATCCAGGTGCATGCAAAGCCTGGTGCCGCCTGCCCTCGGCGATGTTTTCGCTGGACAGAGTAGTGTGAAACCCTGCTGTTAAGATACCTGTTTCTTTGTTTGTGGGGCCATCTGTGACCCAGGGATTGCAAATTCTGTGTTATCTTCCCCCATGGCGCAGAGAAGCCAAGCAGCCTGCCTACAGACTCACAGCTGGACATTGTCAAAGTTGGGATTTGATTCCCGTACAGTTTACATTAGTGCTTCCTGCCACATTCAGGGGGTACCCCAGGATCTGTACCCACTACTTTCCGAGGGTACCCCAGGAGCCGTTCCCACCACATTCAGAGGGGATCCCAGGAGCTGAGTTGATTGGGGCGCTTCCTGCCACATTCTGAGGGGACTCCCACACTCCGAGGGGTACCCCAGAATCTGTTGCCACCACATTCGGAGGGTACCCCAGGAGCCGTTCCCACCACATTCAGAGGGGACCCCAGGAGCTGAGCTGATAGGGGTGCTGGGCTAAGGATTCCAGACAGGCTCATCTGGATGAGGCAGAGGTAAGCAACAGATCGGCAGGAAGCTAGGGTGAAGAGTGGAGTCTGTCTCCTGAAGCTGCCCTGGGCAGGTTGGGAGACACAGCTGCCTCTCTCTCCTCTGTTCACACCAACCAATAATTCACTGCAATTATCTGGAAAAGATTAATTAGCAAAGTGCACCATATTGACTCAAGGTTGGCCTCAGAGATCGATAACTTGGGAAAGTCTCCAGGGGGGCAGGAGAAAGAAGCAGAATTGGAAATGGGGGAGGCGGCTCCACTCCAGACTGCTAAGCCTCTGTATGAGACCCCTGGCTTTGCCTGGCTGCCGGGTAGCTCTAAGCACATCTCTTGCCTCAGTTTCCTCATATATAAAATGGGTCAGCAGTTCTAAACATCTTCGCCCCCTCATGCCCTATTCATAAGCCTCACCCAGGGAAACCTGAATTCCTGCCAAGAGGACTCTGAATGGTTAATGTGGTTGGTTGGAGACAGGATCTGACTACAGCCTAGGCGGTCTTTAACTGATAAAACTCGTCCTTCAGTATTCCCCAACGTTCTGACAGAGCAGACTCCATGGGCAAGTAAGGTACTCAGGTATCGCCATTATGGAAGAAGCTGAAGCCAGGTCTGATGGGGCAGAAATGGAGCTGCCAAAGCTAGGAAGATCCAGAGTCACCAGGGTGGCGGTGCCACAGAGCTGCAATCTCAAAGGACACATCTGCCAGGGCTACTACACTGAGACCCTGAATGTTGGCACTGTAGAACAGGGATACCCAAACCCCTCCTCCTACCCTAGCCTCCCATCAGGTAGCCTTCCTGGGTGACAGAGGGTTAGGGAGTGTCCTGGAACCACCGCGAAGGTCAACTTCCTGGGGTCCAGAACGGACCAGGAGGTGGGGTGGTAAGAAGAAACCTACCACAGGCCGGGATCGCAGTGGCACAGGTGTGTGGTCTCGGTCCTCCATGCTGGTGGAGGGTCACGAGCTCAAGGGTAGTCTGAGCTACATAGTAAGACCCCGTCTCAAAAAACAAGACCTAAAGTAAGAAGGAAAAAAAAACCCACCATAGCTCCTGTTGGCAAGAATCGAGGTATTTTGTGGGAGAGGCTTCTGAGTGGGAGTGGGCTCCAGTGCCCAAACAGGTCCAGGCCTCACTCGGTGTTGCTGATCCTTGGGTCTCTCAAACCGGCCCTCCAGTACTAACCTCCACCTTGCTTGCTCCCACCCCAGGCAGAGTAGCCCTGGCTCTGAGATTAAACCAGGCTGTCCCGGTAACATACTGAGCACAATAGGTCGGTCCACAGTACCAACCCTGCCCGGCCCGTCCTCTTCCTTAGCCTCTGCCACATCGCCCCATCCATCTGACAGTCCTGTCGTGTGCGAGGACTAAACTGATGGAAATTGAGGGCCATTTGTCCAGCTGTGAAAATGATCTGAGCGTCTTGCAGGAGCGGTGAGACAAATCTGAACCCTGGGCCTGGGAGGTCGTCAGTATCCTGAAGCTTTAGCTATGAAGTATTCGTGGGATGGGGGTCCGGGTACCTGCCAGCTGCTCCCAGCAGATAAAGAGTACTCTGGTATATTTGCAGCCTGGGACCCAGGGAGCTGCCCTCAGGACGGGGTGCTGCTGTGTGAGCAAGGTCACACACACAAGCAGCGCTCAGCCCAGGTCATGGGGAGGACACAGAGGGATCTAAGAAGGTGGACTTCATGAGTCCCTGCCCCTCATCTCCCCTCCCAGGATCACCCCATTCAACTGTACACTCCCGCCAGAGCCAGAGGGTGCCTACCGGCCACCCCTTGGCCACCACTAGACCCGGGCCAGCTGCCTGTCCCTCTTCTATTCATCAAGGGCATGACAGTTGAAATTCATTTGAAGATGAAGAAAGTGCCCACTAATCCGTTCTGCAAGACATTGATAGACTCGCTGCTCGGGGAAGCTCGCACAGCAGTAATGAAATTAGGCTAAAACTGCTGGCGGATCGCAGGTAATTGCCCTTGTCTGTCACGAGGAATAACATCTCCCAAATCCAACACAATGATTGTTCCACTTGCAGAGATTTCTGTTTTAAAAGAATAAAAGAAAAACCAGGGAGGTGAGACCCATGCAGGGGCTGGAGGAGCCACTGCCTGGACAGCTGCCTGGGGTGAGATGAACACCTAGCTGCTAACCATTGCACCGCCCAGCCTGAGCTGGAGGTATCCAGAGGAGGGAGGAGGCTTGGCGACAATCCCCAGAGTCTTCCCAGGTCTCCACCCATCTAAGTCTTATTTCCCCTAGGATTCTGCCATACCCCCACCAGTGGTGGCCTTGTGTAGAAAACGGGGAGCAGAGAAGTCTTGGGGGTCAGAGCTGCGGATTTGACAACTCTGGGTTTTGACAAGACAGACTCTTGAGTGTGGGGACTGTGGGGCTTGTGTGGGAGTGACATTCGCTTGTTATTGAGACGTCTCTTCTCCATATGGCAGAAGGGACTCTGTGTGTTGGGAGGCAGTGACTTATGTCTCCCCAAGTCTTGCCCTGGAGAGCGTGTAGGGACCGTATGTCTCCCAGGCTGTGGACAGGAGAGAAGGATCTGGCTGTGTTCTGTAGCGCATGTGTCCTGGAGTGTTTGATGTTAATAGACGTTTGAATGTCAGAATGAGAGCCTTTCACGGGCTAGCTGAAGTGCAGGTATGATGTCAGTAGCATCGGATGATGTCAGGGAACACCTGAATGTCAGCATCAGGCTGTGCTGTCTGATGTCTGTGACCCAGAAAGCTTGCATATACCCAAATAGGAGGCTAGAAAGTCAACATCACAGGCTGCTACAGCAGAATTCAGAGGCTAAAAGAGTCCTCCTCCTCCTCCTCCCCCTTCCCCTTCCCCTTCCTCTTCCTCTTCTTCTTCCTCCC